GCACAGAATGGTGTCACAGTTCCTCCTGCTCGAGTACCTGGTAGCTGCTGTCTGTGCTGTTCTGCCTTGTGCGAATGTGTGTATTTGCAGTTAGACAGCACATAGCCATTCACAGATCCCCTCCTCTCAGTTGCTGAAGGCAGTTAAATTACTCTTTCTGCGCCTAGATAGCTCATTTTTTAATAGCTGAGTAACATTTTGACTTTCTTGGGCTATGTGTCATGGTTTACCCTTTATTTATGGAAGGACATAGGGACAAGCTGCTGAAGTATTTGCCTGCAGCCTTTAGTGTAGATTTACAATTTAAATTCATTTGGAAAAATATCAAGGAAAGTGATTGTTGAATCATAGGAATCAGTTTATCTCGTGCTTAGGAAATTGCCAAACTGTTTCCCATAGTGGTTGCATCATTTTGCATTCCTACCATAAGAGAGGGGGAGAGAAGAAGAGAAAAAAGATGGGTGTGAGAGAGAGAAAGGGGATCCTGCTTCTCTACTTCTTCCTCTGAACCACATGTCAGCCACTCTGGTCAGTACATCATGCTTGTCTCATTGCAGTGTGCTTGAATGCACTTCCGTGTTATTTATCTATGTTTCTGGTTTGCTGTCCTATTTGTTCAGGTCCTTTGTCATTTCTTCTTTTTTGATTGTTCATTTTATTACAGAGTTTAAATCTTTTAATTTTTTTGTATTATTTTGGATAACAATCCTTTAACAGATGGTGCTTTTCTCTTCCTTCTAAAGCTGTGTACTGGGAATTGAACCAAGAGCCTCATCCATGCTAGTCCAGTGCTCTGTTGCCAAGCTGCAGCCCCAGCTCAGATGTACCTTTTGCCGATACTTTTCTCTTAGTCTACAACTTGTCATGGTCTTGGCATTGACTTTCTTGGAGTTGGAATTTTTAATTTTAAAGATTTACCTATTTGAATATTTTAACCAGTGCTGCATAGTTTTCTCTATATAAATCTGTATATGTTTTGCCTATATGTATACCTGTGTATCACATTTGTGCTTGGTGCCTGCAGAAGTCAGAAGAGGGCATTGGATCACTTAGAACTAGAGGTACAGAAGGTTGTGAGCTTCCATGTGGATGCTGGAAACTAAGCCTGAACCTTTAGCAAGAACAGCTAGTGCTCTTAACCACGGAGCTGTCTCTCCAGCCCATATATGTGGTAAGAAGGACACTTGTTGGTTCCCAGCTGCTCAGCCGCAAAATAATCACACAGAAACTGTATTAATTAAATCACTGCTTGGCCCATTAGCTCTAGCTTCTTATTGGCTAACTCTAACATATTAATTTAACCGATTTTTAATAATCCGTATATTGCCGCGTGGCTGTGGTTTACCGGGTAAAGTTCCATCTGGCTCCAGCAGGACTATATGGCTTCTCTCTAACTCTGCCTTCCTTCTCCCAGCATTCCATTTAGTTTTCCCAGCCTAGCCCTTTTCTTTTGCCCTATCAACAGTTCAAGGCAGTTTTTTTTAATCTTAGTTATACATTACATTTTTAAATGAGCTACACAAACACAATACCTTAATCAAGAGCAGAAATATACATATAATAAAATTGACCTTAAATTTGTATCAATAAACCAAGATCTGTACCAATGCAAATCTCTATAGCACATATATATGTGTGTGTATGTGTATATATATGTACATACATACATATATACAAATACTTGAATGAATATACATTCATTATTACATTTATTTTAAGTACTTATTTGTATATGTTTGTGTATGTAAACCTCTGTCCAGAGATCTTGTGCACATTTGTTGGGTTTATATATAGTTCATCTTTTCAGATGCTAGCTTAAATGGCAATGCATTATTAATCTCAAGCTCTTGCTGCTGCAATGGGTAACTTTTGCCTTTGGACAGTATCCCACATTTCACCTTGCTGCAGTTTCTTATTAACTCTGGTTTTGTTGGTTGGTTGAGATATTCTCTACAAATTGCCATGTCATCTGCAAAGATATCTAATTTTTTTCCTTCTAGCATTAGCATCCTTCCTCATTGTAGGATGTGGACTTTTTGAGAAGCAACAGTAGGAGGAAAGCTTGGCAGGAAAGCTAGTTACCCTACATTAACACTGATGTACACACATGGACTTTTGTAGATCTTTGCCAAGTTTATGGATTGTCTTTGCTATCCCCAGTTTGTTGCAGTTTTTTTTTTCCTTTAAACTATGAATGCATGTTGAACTTGGTCAGGTAATTTTTCTTTCCCTGCTTTATTCTTCAGGCTGTGGATGTTGTATACTAATTGGTTTTCAAATGCTGACTGCTACTGCCTGGGTACATTCATCGGGTTGTAGTGTATGCTTCTTCTTACCCATTGTCCAATTTGCTTTGCTGAAATTTTGTTGAATTAGGGGTTTTTGTTTGTTTTTCATCTTTTTATGGGAAATACTTGAAGTAATTTGATTATAGTGTCATCGTCTGAGTTATAATGAGAGTAATCTTGTGCCCTAGAGGGATTTAAAAGTTTCCTCAGCTCCCATCTTCCAGAAAAGATTGTAGAATGCTAGCGTGACTTCTTCCTATAAATGGGATGCTCTGGCATATTTCAGAGCAGTACTGTTTTCTCCTCCTGCTGGAGCAGCGAAAGGTTCTCCTTTGTGGTTTTTCCCTGAGAGGAAAAAAAGAAATGACTGAATTGTAAGCTCCCTTCCCATCGGCCACTGCAGCTGCCGTCCCTTCATCACAGTGCAGGTTCCCCTTCTGGGGCTGCTTTCGCAGGGGTTTGTGTTCCGCTGCCTTGAGTGGCACCTGTCTTTCTCCTCCACCTGAGGCAGTTTTCCCTGTGATCTCACTTCTCTGCATGATACAATTCTACTTGTTGCTAAGACCCAGCAACAACTTCTAAGCTCTCTCTGTGGGACGGCACTAGATAATGGTTCATGTTCATGGAGTGTCTAGCTTCTTAAGCACTGTTCCTTGAATAGGTTGTCTCATCTCCATTGTCTGATGTTGGAATTCTTGTCAAACAGCATCGGTCCCTTCATTGGAGGGGTTGTGTCTGAGTTCAGTTGGAGTTCAATGTCATTGGTCGGTTCTTTGACTTTGTGTCTGCCCTACAGCATTCTTAGGACTTTGGCTTCATATCAAGTTTTGAAATCCAAGTCTGAGTCTGTACCCTGTTCTTTTTCACTGTTGTTTTATCTCCCCTGTGCTCCTTTAGATTCTGTATGAATTTTTATTTCTGCAAAAGATGCTGGGTTTTCATAGTTACTGCACTGACTGTGTAAATATCTGGTGCTCATAGCATGGGAACAGCATTCAGACAATAAATATGATCTGCCTTTCCATCATTTATGTCTTTATTTCTTTCAGTATCATTTTATAGATTTCTTTGTGTAAGTGTTGTGCCTCTGCAATTAAGCTAACCACTAAGTATTTTTGTTCATTTTTGATGCTATTGGCAAAGGACTTATTTTGTAGATTTCTCTCTGAGATTGTTTGTTGTTAGCATGTGGATACTAAGTTGTTGTTGTGTGTATGTGTTTGTGTGTGAACTTTACGTGCGGTTACTTTTTTGAACTTTTAACAATTGTTCTCCCACCTTTAGGCTTTTTTTTTTCCTACAGAGATGTGTCTGTGAACAGACTGTTTACTCTTTCATCTCCATTTTGCCTTGGATGTCTTCTTTCCCATCTAAGTGACACACGTTTACACTGTCCCATGCTGCTGACCCTTGAGGGAGAGATTTCGGTCTCTCAGTGTTGAGAACAGAGCCTGCTGTGGCTTCATATGTGGTCTCTATTATGAAGAGGTAGATTCAGCCTTGCACCAGTTTGTTCAGTGTATTGTAACTGGATGATGCTGAAATTTGCCAAATACTTTTCTATATTGATTGAAACGATTGTACCTTTTATTCTCAAGTTGTAGTGTATTTTGAAATGAAATCCACACGCAAATGGAAATATATCAAAGAAATGTGAGCTTTTTATTTTTTAAAAGCTTTCTAAATTATAAAGGTAAGTCTTGAGGACCTAAAGAAGATGAATGATAGATATGACTAACATAAAAATTTAACTAGTAATCATAATACAAAAATATGACAAAGAAAAAATGTACTGGGGAAATCCTTGTAGCATGTTTGTTTCCTGTGACATCTAACAAGAGCCTGAAGGAAAAACACTAATCCAACAGCAAAAGCACATAGTAAAAATAAGCAGTTCCCACTCATAATGCACACATAACTGATGAGAGGCAGTGTCTCGTGCCATTCAGTAGTGAAGGGGAAGCAATGATGGAGCACTGGCCCAGGTAAGCTGGGCAGCCCTTAAGAAGCAGTGTGCAGGGTTAGTCAGAGTGTGTGTCAACAGAAACGTTCATCCAGTTTGTGGGCAGTAAACGGGTGCATCTGCTTGTCAGTATTTTGTCTTTTGTTTTTGAAAAGGCTGTTTCTTGATCCATCAGTTTTCTTTGAATCTATAGCAGTGTATTGACCAGTGCATTAAGATGTATCTAGAAGGCATCTATAGCAATGGGTTGACCGGTGCATAAGGGGCACCCAGAAGGGCCTTGTCATTTGGGTCGGGGAATAAAAAAAGTGGGGTAGAACTAGAAGGCACTTAGGTGCTGGCCAGTACTCAGAACAGTTAGTAAGCTGTAGAGTGGCATTTTTTTTTTCAGTTTTTAGCATGAATTAGATAGATTTGGGTTGATATGGGAAGCTTCTCGAAGCATGTTTAAGAGTCAAAGCAAGGAAGGATAGCTTGTGGGTGGGTGACTGTTCATGGCTTATGAATGAGATGTAAACTAGAATTTGAAATGCTGGTGTCTGGGAGGGTGCGCAGGAAATGGCCGGCGATGGCACACACCTTTTCTTGGAGTGTGGGGCTTGGGATGTAGAGTGAGCTGGGCTTGCCTGGTCACCCTTTTTGAGTGCTTTAAATTTCCTCAATCACGGGAGTGTACAATTGAAAAATGAACGTCCACATTCTTCCTTTGGGTCCGTGTGCACTAACTGTATTTCCTTTAATTTTCATAGATTTCTCTTGTGCTTTGTTTCGTGTTGATGTTTGGGAACTCGATGTTGCTCACATCTTACTATGCATCCTCTTTGGTGATTATTTGGGTAAGTATTCCTTTAACTGTTTATTAAAAAGCTTTATTTTTGAGAATTTTATGAATGTATACAGTGAAGTATGACCATAGATATTCCCCATATCTCCTCAGCACATCCTCCCCGCTGCAGGCTTTGGTTTTTTTATTGATAGCTCACTATGTTCAGTTAAGCTGTCTGGCCCTGTCTGTTTTTGAAACAGTTTCAACTTCTCTATCACTGGTTTGGAATGCATGAGTAGCTTCTGCGGGGTCATATAAAGTGTTTATCAGCTTTATCTTTACCTGATGGAGCAATGAAGTTCTCACTGCGAAAGCAGAGAAATTAAGACTCAGTGGCTTCACCATTGGAAAGCTCAGAGCCTCAGGTCCCGCTGTCCCTAGGTTGCTTTTTCCTCCCCTCAGCTCCCCTTGCACCTGCTTTGTTTTTGAGTTCATTGCAGGAGATTTCTGTACTTCCTGTTTTCTTTTCATCTTTCCAGTTTCAGTCTAAATCTAAAAGTTGTCTTAAATTCAGACTTTGGTGCACTTTTAGGAAATGACTCTGATTCACAGGCTTTAGTATTACAGTGCTGTGCAAACCCGGTTTCCCCTTCTACCTGTGGCACACGCACTCCAGCTGGGTCTGTGTCTTGGTAACACACACATTGCACTTCCCGGTTGGAGTGCTTTCTGCCTTTTGAATAGTCATCCTTTGATTCAGTTGATTTCCAGAGCCCATTAGTACATTTGGAGAGTCTTACAGCTCTGCCTCACAAGTAGCTACTTTAAAATACCCATTTTCAAGACACACACACACACACACACACACACGCACGCACGCACGCACGCACGCACGCACGCGCGCTTTCTCCAGCCTGAGGCGCTACCTGTAGCTGATGTGTTATTTGTTACTCTGTAGCTGAAGTATATTTAGCCACAGCCGTGGGCTTCAGGTGATGCTATTTGCAGCCCTAAACTTGGAGTTGCTACTGCTGTGCCCTGGGATTAAGATCAACAAATTCTCTAAGTCATTTCTGCCAAGTTTGAAGTCTGTTTTTCTCACTGGAGCTTATAGAGTTTAGGATTCATGTACCTGGACAGACTTGATTTAACACAGAGCTGTTCTGTTAGGACAGTAAAATCTCATGTGTAGTTCATCATGTAAGTCAAGTCAGGAATTTTAAGCTTAAAGGGAATCTTATGCTTTTATGAGCTATTTAAATTTCTGAATTTGTTGTATACCTCTTGGTTCATCATAGGTAAATCTGATATGGAAAATAGAGAAGTAGGTCTTTTATATACTGATTTTCTTTTCAATTTTACATTCTCAATGACAATACATTTTTTTAGTGTTTTTTTTTTTTTGAGGTATGCTTTGAAATCACTAACTGCATATGTGGACATGGGGTGGCAATTGTGAAAAATCCACAAAGCAAAGCAAGGGACATGAATGTCGGAGAGAAATGTGCAGGAAGAAAGAGAGGACAGAGAGACAGGGCTGTAGATGAATTAGGACGGAGTTCAAAATGCGTGAAAATGTCAAAGAACATATTTAATTAATAAATCAATCATGTGCTGAATTTCATGTTTTTCAAAGTCTCAGTTATTCAGAACAATTGTTACTTGAGTGTCTGAGTATTCATTTGTGTTCCTATTCAGGGGTTGCTGGCAGTGAAACCACAGTTGCTAAAAATGAATGTATCTGAACCTAGTTTATGGGTAAGAATAAACCTATGTGTTTTCTTCTCTAAAATACTGCATTGGTTTTATGCTTTACTTTTTAAAAAATTATGCACACAAGGGGCCTGTTTGCTTTGTAATAAGCACATGAGGGCTCTGTCTGAAGTTTTATTTATTACCCCATGTTTCTTCTGAGGACAACCATGTGTGACAGCCCCACTGTAGGTGTCGAGCTGGAGTTCTTGTTTACATCTCTGATAAGACAGAAATACATTTTGCTAGGAAGGTCCTATGTTTTCAGTTTTATTTTTAGCTATGATAACCCTTGGTTTTTGAACAATGTGCTTTTAGAAGATGTTCCCTTGGGAAATAGTATCGCTAACATGGGATAAAGCATGTGCTCCGTTCACTGCTCCAGGCTACAGAAGGTGGAAGAAAGTTTGTTTTATTTATTTTTCTTTTGTAGGTTATCCAAGGGTGTTGTTGGTTATGTGGAACTGTTACACTCAAGTATTTGACTTCCAGAATCTTCGGCATTGCAGATGATGTAAGTGTATTGTTGCTTAAAATGGAAAGACTTGAGAAGTATCCAGTAGGCAGGGAGTACATTAATGGAATTATTAGAGTTAATTTCTTAAGCTGTATTCTAAGGTGAGGTAAATATTATTTTCTCTTTTTAATACAAGAAAGAAAATCACAAAAATATGATTATGGATATAGTGTGAATCTCCAGAATTAATACAGCCCCTTTTTAGTATATTTCTATGTCACAAAGATGTAGAAAATGTCAAACAAGAACTCTGAACACTAAGGCCTAACATCTAAGGCATGTACAGCCATTTTCTGATTTCGTTATGGTCTCTTTTTTTTTATTAAAAAATTTTATTTATTTATTAAAGATTTCTGACTCTTCCCCGCCNGCAATCAAGTTTCCCTGCCCTGTGGGAAGTCCAAGGACCCCCCACCTCCATCCAGGTCTTGTAAGGTGAGCATCCAAACTGCCTAGGCTCCCACAAAGCCAGTTCGTGCAGTAGGATCAAAAACCCATTGCCATTGTTCTTGAGTTCTCAGTAGTCTCTTTTTAAAACCAAAGAGACAGTGTCTTCACCGTCATAGATAGAGATCTGCCCTCCCCATCTTCACTGTGGCCAGTTCTTATGGGATGTTTGTTCAGATGCCATTATTCACAGTTAGAGCCAGGTTAGACTTAAGAAATTTTGTTTTGTTTGGCTAGGACAGAGAATAAAATGATAATGTTTGTGATTTATTATCTTCAGGCTTCTTCTTATGAATAGTTGCTTTATTTGTTTCTCTGTGTGTGTGTGTGTGTGTGTGTGTGTGTGTGTGTGTGTGTTCATGGTACCTGCGTAGGTTTCTATACATAAACAGAACTGGACATGAGCTATCATCTCTCTCCACTGTCTTGAGGCAAGGTCTCCCATGAACCTGAAGCTAGGCGGTGGCCAGCAAGCCCCAGTGATCCTCCTGTCTCACCCTTGGCAATGCTGGGCATGTAGGCAGACTAATCTTATGCTTTGGCTCCCTCAAGCCATCCCCTGGCCTCACTTACTTACTTTATTTTGATGTGATCAGCACATTCTAAGTTTGGTACTTCAAGCAATTATAATAATACAAAAGATAATGAAGGCTATGGCAAGTAAGAGTGTAAGCTCAGGATTCTACAGGAGCACACAGGAGGAGAATCAGGAATTGACCAGATGACAGGGGAAGAGTGAGGGAGTTGGATGCAGAATGTAGGAAGAAGGGGGAGACAATAGCTCCGGTGCAGGTGTGTGGACTCTGCTTTCTTTCTGTTGGGAGACAAACTAATAAGCCAGTGATTCAGACTGAAGGCACTGTTGACATTTTTGCGTAGCCCAACATTCTAGTGAAATGAAATGACAGTCAGTGCAGATCTCCACACAAGAGATGACATAAGCAAGCGAAGGCCTCTAGGACTGAAGCAGAGAGCGATACCAGTGCCTCCTGCATTCTAAGTGTGCTGCTGCTAAAGAAGCAGGGGCCAGGCCCCCAGCACTGGAAAGGGCTGTGTCTTTCCTTCGCTCACTGTCCTTCGGGGGGAGGCTGTGTGTGTCCCTTCACCTGCCAGTTCTCTCTAGTCTGAGGAGCTAGCAGCTGTTAGGGTTCAAGTATTTGTACTTTGCACATTTTATGTAGGTCTCATTTCGTCATGAATGAGGTGAATCCTGGAGCTTTCAAAACAAAACAAAGACAAGCAAGCAACAAAATCCACTTACCCTTCGAAGGAAAGTCTTCTTAGCAGAGCTTTACAGTTTGTCAGATTGGAATAGCCATGCCTCTCCTGTGATCTTACAGTTTTCCTAAATTAAAGGGGCTTACTGAGTGTAGCATGGGGTCAGTACTTAACAAGCGTTGGTTAGTGATGCCATGGTTATTATTGTTGTAATTGATTGTGTACACACACGCACACAATCTTCTTCCTCTGTGGACTCACTGGTGGGTACTTAGGTTGCTAGGTTGGTGGATTGTGCTGCAGTGTACTGAATTGTGAATAAATAACTCTTCATTAGTTAATTTTTAATGGTGGGTCTAGAGATTACAATACATATCTTTATTTAAAACAATCTTGAGGTTAAATCTGTAGGTTCAGAGTCTGATTCCTCTCCCTTTGTGCCATTATTGTCATACATTGGATATCTGTGTTAGTGCCAAGAGCATGAGTTTTGATCACTGATTTATGAACTTTTATATCTTAAATGAAGAGAAAAAGAACAAAGGGGGTTTATATTGCCTTTGTATTTTGCAGCATTTTCCATCCTTTTTATTTCCCTTTCTTTCTTGTGCTTGAGGAGGCTTGTGTACTCTGAACCTATAGGACTCCATTTTCTAATTTTTTATAAGCCAAATCTCTTAACAGTAGGTTCTGTCCACCTTCATTTCTATTCCAGTGTTTAGGTTATTTGTTGTGGTTTCTCATTTTGCTGGTTGCAGAGTTGTTTGTGGACTGTAGTTTCTTTAAAACTTCTGGCCTTCATTATTTCTAAGAAGGCAATCTATCTATCTATCTATCTATCTATCTATCTATCTATCATCTATCTATCTATCTATCTATCTATCTATCTATCTATTAATGAAATCACATCTTTCCTGCCTTCCATGCCCCTTTGCTTGCTCCCTGAAAGTCTGCACTGCCTTCTGTCTATCAGCTGTGGGTTTGTAGAATACTTGGGCTCTCTTGGATCATGTGTATGCTTTCCAGTCCTCCAGGAGTGTGAAAATGTCCTTATCCTTTAGATGGTTGTCTCATCTCTAGGTTCTCACTGTAGCAATTACAGCTAGTCTGCCCGTCTTCAGTTCCTGTCACTGGGATTGAAGCTGTAGTTTTTCCCAGGAAGGCTTTCATCTCTCATTTTCCTGCTGGTGCTGATGATAACACAGGTGTTTGTAATAGGCTCAAAATCAAGTTTTTGACATTGGGCCCACCACCTCCATAGAGACCCTGCCATAGACCCAGCAAGCTGGAGAATCCATGATGGTAGACGAGACAGCCTAGGCAGGAGTGCCACACACTCCCATTTCTTCACAGTTCATTTTTATCAGAAAATACAGCATCATAGATGTTAGACTAGAAGACTGTGATGTGGTTGTTTGTGACACTTTTGTTGTGTTGTAGTTGTCCTGGGGATTTTTTTTAACTCTCTCTTCCATGTCTACAAGTTCCCACATTCCCTGATATTTAACCCTGACCCAGTGTTGGACTCTGAAGCCAATCTCATTTGCTCATTGTGTTAATCTGTAGGCGGACTTTCTCTGTGTCCTTGTACCTGCTCCCAAATAATCACTCCGAGACTTATTATTAATTATAAATGCTTGGCCATTAGCTTAGGCTTCTTTTTAGCTAGCTCTTAGAACATCTCATTTCTCTTTGTCTGTGTGCTGCCCCGAGGCTCATTACCTCATGTCCACACTTCCCATCCTGCTTGTTCTGTGTCTCTTTCTGTCTCCTGAGACTCTGCCTTTTTTCCTCCCAGCATCCTCTGTCTGGCTGTCCTACCTATACCTCCTGACTAGCTACCAGCCAGTCAACTCTTTTATTAAGCCAATCAGAAGGTGCTTTGGCAAAGACACATCTTCATAGTGTCCCAAAATATTATTCCACAATCTTGTTCTTTCTTAATAGTGCTGAGTTTGGTTGGCTAATATTTTAAGGATATTTACCTTTAATGATGAAAGGTATTAATCATAGTTTTTCTTACTTAATGATTTTGTCTTCAGGACAGTGGTAACTTCCTGTATTTTTTAAGATGAGTTCAGTCTCCTACTTTCAGAGAGCATTTGAATAGAACTGACATTTCCCCCTTAAATGTAGGCAGAAAGCAACACTGAAGCCTATAGCACTCAGGATTTTCAGTGTGAGGAGGGTTTCAGTCCTAACTCGACTTCCTTAGGAACTTAGCCATCTGGCTGGAGCTTTGACGGGTGTACTCAGGGCTGCTTTGCATATTCTTTGTTTGAGACCGAGTGCCGCATGCTTTCAGAATTACACATGCAAGTTTTATATATGTACATATATCGGGAATGGTCTTTTATTGTTAAATAGTTAAGTTTTCAACCTTTCTAACTTGACAGGTAACATTGTATGTGTATACCATGTACAGCGTCATGTGGGGAAGCTTTCGTGCATGGTGGACTGCTAGAAAGCAGACTTTCTTCAGATAACTTCACAGTTACTGTTTTGTTATTGTTATTTTGTAGCTAGAGCTTGTCACATCCATTCTCTGCATTTGGCAGTGGAATGCAAAAGGGTCACTGGTGGCAGTCATCTGATGTGCAGTAGGTCTGCACAACCTAACCGTAGCTGTGTGTCCTCCGACCACCGTCCCTCACTTCATCCTCTCCCATCCCCTTTTTAAACACTCTTCTTTTGAGATTAATTTTATAGAGTCCATTTGTAAGAATCAAGCACGTAGGAAAATGTGTGATCCTTTTGCTTTTACCACTCTTATTTTCTGGTAAATTTGTCTTAATGATTCCTGAAAGTAGTGCTTTTTGTATACCTTATAAATTTGCTTTTTGTGACTTTGTGCTTGATCTAAAGGTTATTGAATTTTGGCCTATTTAGTTTCCAGTCAGAAGGACTGCAAAAGCCATTCCCAGATATTTTCTAGTTTTACTGCTTTTATGATTAAAAAATTTATATGCAGTTTCAACATGCTGTTATGACATGCTACATGTAAATACTTAATTTTTTTTACTGTGCTTAAGGAAAATGTGTATGTTCTTCCTGTAAAGTTTATAGTCTTTATTTATGGACTAATTATATTGTGCTAATTTATGTTGAATCTTCTCTTCTCTTGCTCCTCTGCTGCTGTCAGATTCATAGGCACACGCATGGCTCTCTGTGGTGGTCCACATGCAGGATGTGTCGTGGGCTTTGCTCTTCGCTCACCAGCACATAGTATTGTCTTTTCACAGGTTTCCCTGAATCGCTGTGTGGTTTTTGTCTTGAATTTTATATTTCATTAGTGTGTTTCAGGGAAGCGGCAGGGGTGGGAGAATTCTTTCTTTCCACTGTGGTCTGGGGCCACACTCTGTTCATCAGTTTTCATGGCAAGTTCCTTTTCCTGAATCTCCCCGGCCCTTGAACTTAGTTCTGTGAGATTCCATGGCTGCTACCCTAGGATTTTGTTTCAAACTTATGTTGTTTATTTTCTTTTATGCTTTGGTGTGGTTTATCTTTTGTAGACAACATAATATTGTATTTGTTCCCTTACGTCAGTTTGAGCATCTGCCCTCTAATTAGATAATTTAAGCTCTTTGTGTAAATGGCAGTTGCCTTTTGGCAGGAAATTTTTCTTCATTTTATTTGGGATTTGTTTCCTTGGGCCATTTCAGGGGCCACATAACCACCCTTCCAACTTCCTAAGTGTATCCGCCTGCCTCTTCTCTCCGCAGCCTTTGTGTCATCACAGTCCCCCATCCTTCCTGCTCCACTCTCACGAGCCCCTGTGATCCGAGGCCATAGGCAAAATCATCTCTTCTCCTAGACTTTGCTGTTTTAGATAATAGTTAACTTGAAAGTTTGGTGAACATCGTATGCCCTCAAGCCTTCCTTTCTCGTTTATAGAGTGGGACAGCACACAAGCCCTTCCTGACTGTCTGTCAGAAGGTGCCTTTTATGCCCATTCCTCTGTGCCTGCTGCCTTTAAACTGTCTATAAGTCCCTTCCCACATTCAGACTCAGCCTCCCCTCTGTCCTCCAGACCTGGCTTCCTATGTGGTTGTCAGAAATCTTAAGAGTTCCTAGGCTCATTCCTCCTGGGGGAGAGCAAGGTGGGGCTGGGGAACTGTTTTTTTTTTTTTCCAGGTTTAGCACCACAAGTAGAAAAACTCAGGGGTAAAAGCCTTGGGCATTGAGTGGGTGGTAGTAGACATTGGTAGGAAGCTTTGGGAGCTGTCACTTACTGGCAGAACAGGGGATGCAGCTGTGAGGTTAGAGGAACAGAACAGAACTTTCTTTAACATAAAAGCCCAGATTTGGAACAATGGACTTTTTCATACAGTGAAAACTATTTTTAGATACTGTTAAGATTAAAATGCAATGCATAATTGTGATGTTTGGTTTAGTATAATGATTCCTGACTTGATTTCTTCCTAGGCTCATATTGGGAACTTACTAACGTCAAAATTCTTTAGTTACAAGGATTTTGATACCTTACTATATACTTGTGCAGCAGAGTTTGACTTCATGGAAAGGGAGGTAAGCTCTGATTTCCAGTGTTGTTCCCTGGGCTTCAACCCTTTTCTTTTCACAGAGCATGTCCTGCTATTTCGGGTTCACACTCAGCTTAGAGGAAGAAGTCCAGCAGCCTAATGCAAACCTTCCCATTTTGTATTTATTTATGACCTTTTCCGTGTTGATAATGTGGAAGTATGCATTCAGAATGCCCACAGTGCTTGGGTGAGAGAGCACAGGCATTTCCCATAGCATCTTTTCAGAGACAGCATCCACAGTTCAATCAGCTTCTCGAGCTCGTACGCTGCCACTTACTGTGTGGATATTCGAATGAGCTCATTGCATTTAAATATCATTAAGCACAAGTTTTTCATAGCTGACATTTCTCTTTTGAAAATTTGATTCAGATATTTGATGTTCATGGGAAAGCCTGAGAGTAGGTAGTGGTCTGTGGGACAGCATCTTGCAGTGGGAATGAATGGTCTTGAACGAACACATCCTACTCATTGTGTTACAGTCTACTAGCTTCTAGTAGTCTACTGCAAACCGATACTGTGAAATAAAATGCGATTTCACATACTAAAGTCCTTTGATCTCTTAAGTGAAATATTATTTCAATACTTCTTGAGGTAGTTTGTTTCAACAAGCATGTGTATATTAGCCTCAGAAGCCCCATCCATGTTGAATTCCTTTATTGCTGTTTACACGTGATACACTTTCCTCTAAGGCTATATCTGTAGGAATGCACTAAACTGACCATTACTTCATTGACATATTCATTGCTCCAGCTCTCCCACTCTGGTAATTCTGTGTCCAGAGTGCCAGGCCAGCAGCCTTCAGTGTAGACTTATCTGTTCTTAGTCAAGTGTACCTTGATGACTTCAACTGCATCTTGGCCCTCATTTATCCTATTTATGCTGTTGATTCATAATAGCTGATAAAAACTAAACAAATGATAGTGAAAAAAATCAAAGGAAAAATGTCTTCGGATACCGGTTTAGAGGAAATCTAGACTCCTTCGTGAAAGTGGTAACGAAAATAGAGGTGAAGATAAGCAGAAAAGTGATATGTTGTAGAAGGCCCGGAGACTACAGAGATCGTTATGCCTGCTTCTGTAACCCCCGAGTGGTCGTTGCCCATCTAGTGAGATATATTGTGTACTGAGGCATGGCATGACTCCATTCAGCTTAAACAGAAAGTCAGGCTCTTGTATATATTCCTGTCTCCATGTATATCTGGATTTAGGGACAGTGCTGCCAGGCAGCTGAGTGTCTTGTCACTTGAGGGAGTGTAACACAATTCCAAACTGACCTGGAAAGATGCTTAAAATGTGTAACAAAGAAGACCTTACCTGTGATTGACTCACAAAAGTGAAAGAGCAACATCCTGACCGGGCCTCCAGTGGGACACAATTGAGAAGCTCACAGGACTGTGTTACTAAATACATTTCTATAAATTTATCGTGTACATTTGTGTGTTAGAAAAAGAAATGCAGTGGCTAAGAATATACGTAAAATGTATACGGAGCTTCTTCCCTGTAAATAGTCACTGTGCTTAGTCTTCAGTTAGACAAAGTGTGTGAAGAGAAGAATCTATAGTTGTCTTTCACGCGAGTTTTGCAAACTGTATTTTTAGTGTTTTCGACTCAGCATTGGTGAAATGTGTTTCTATGGAAACGTGCTTTAGTTTCAGTGATGGGAGTCAGTGGATAGGTTGGCCTCTTTGGTTGATGAATGTTTGTATTTCTCTACCTATGCTTCTAGAAATTCGCCCATTTCATCATTTGAAAAGAAGTTTTGTTTGACTAAAACATTTCCTTCTCACAAATATCCTTCAATTTTAGACTCCACTGAGATACACAAAGACACTGCTGCTTCCTGTTGTTCTCATCGTGTTTGCTGCAATCGTCAGAAAGGTGCGCGTGCCGCAGGATGCTTCTCAGAATTAAACGTGTTCTTATTTTTGTATAGTAGTTACAAATATTTGGCTACACAATAATAGGATAGTTTTATACTGAGTTTTTGAAAAATTCTGTATTTTCTTACTGATGGCCTTTGATGAGTGTTTACAGATCTTAAAGATATTCTGCTCCCTGCTAGCCTAAAATAGACCCAGGAAAGAACAGTTTAGGTCCTGATCATGCATTTTAGAAGTCATGTCTATTATTGACTGGATTTTAATGTTGAGTAATATTTCTAAAATATTTAATATTTAACTTTTTATATGATATATGAGCAGTTTTCTGTTACTTTTGAATGTGATTTATTATTAATAAAAAAAGAGGAATTGGGAAAGTGCAGTGTATTGATGAAGTGGATAACATGTTCAGGCTCCAAGTTTCCTTTGATAATGAAATTCTAAGCCCTTGTGTAAACTAGGCCTGAGAAATACCAGTCTTCTATGAAGAAAAGCCGGCATGCAACTGTTTCTTAAGTAGCTTGTGAAGGCTGTAACTACATGAGACCTAAGAGATGAGATTAGCGTGCAATCGAAGAAGAGATGCACAAGCCTCGCAATTTATTGATCTCTAGTGATTTGTGCTAACACGGTGTGTTTATCTGTGGGATATTCTGTTCTGTGATTACCGTTCACGTTGTATTTGTACTGTGCTTCGTACTCCCCCATAGCATATTTGGATGTGTCACTCAGCCAGTGCCCCATGGAGTACACAGACACTGCCTTGGAAGATGAAGGACGTTAGTAGCTCCCTTCGTGCCCATTGTCTCACTAGACTCGGTCTTAGCCCTCTCCTACAGACACCTGCTGGCACTCAGCTTTGGACTCCGCTTGTTTCGGCTTCTGTCACTTTACTCAGTTTCGTTGTATGTCAGGTTCTGCACCCCATCTGCACCTGGGATGCCCTGTGATTCATACATAATTATCCTCAAAAATGACCAGATTCTGACCGTCAAGAACCAGTCCAAAGACTGCAGTGACCAGGCATGATAGCTTACACCTTTAATCTTTGCACCTGGGAGGCAAAGGCAGGTGGATGGATATCTGTGGGTTCTAGACTGTTCTGGTCTGTGTACTGAGTTCTAGGCCAGCTAGAGCTACACAATAAGATGAGACTCTGCCCAATAAAACAGAACAAAAAACTGCAGCTTTGATGGCAAGATGTGATGGAATATAGTAGGTCGGATGAATGAAGCCGCACTGTTTAGTTTGAAGTGCAAATGATTCAAGTAGAAGCTGGGAAATTATTTTCAAATATTTAAAAGCCCACCATTTGGAAACTATGACTATGTTCCTTTTGGTACCTTGGAAATATGGTCATTGATAGGATTTTTGGCCGGAAATGCTAAGACCAATCAGGAGAGTATAAGAGCCTGCGCAGCAGCCCAGTCGTTCCTCCAAGGGTTTAACCAGGGTGTGTGCAAGCTGCTGTGTCTGAGCCACTTCTACAGTTCTGTGTCTATGTCCACCACCTCCATGTTAGGGGAGGAGCAGGAGTATCAGGACCAGGAGTGCTCCTTAATGTTTGTCCCCTCAGGAAGGTCATTTCATCCTTTTGAACCTTTTGCCCACATCCTAAATGGGGCATTGTAATTTTCCTAACAGGATGCTTTAAGTATCACCATCAAGGACTGTGGTAGTACAGATAATGTTGAAATTATTATTTTCTGAGTTGTCTCTTATCTCCGTACTTCTTATATTTCTGGTAAGAGTCTTGATATCTGTTTTCTTTATAACAGCTCTTCTAAAGTCTTTAAAATCCATTTTCAGATTATTAGTGATATTTGGGGTGTCATGGCTAAACAACAGACACATCTAAGGTAAATATGCACTTAATTTTCTTACTTCCACGTATTGACTGTTTATTGCAGTATTTACTGTGAGCTTACATGTTTTGCACTTCATACGTGGTGTTTTCCATTGGCACCATTCCCCTTCCTCTCTGTGTGCACCCGTCAGAGCTCACTCAGAGAAGTCTGACCGTGACACCCACATCCTCTTTCCTAGGGGGACATGACTTTGCCAGTTCAGCAGAGAAATTGATTATTCTGTATGGAGGCCAATAGATTCTCATATTTGAGAAATAAACAGGGAAATAAAAAACTAGATCCGTTCCTTTTTTTTTTTTTTACTTAACTTCCCTATTAAGCAATTTTGAAACATAGGCAACCAGATGTACCTAGAAATTGACAAAGAGAGGTACTTGTAATTGAAGAAGTGACAGGTCTTTTCAGCAGGATGCAGCACTTACATGCTGGGAAGGTTGACATCATCAGCCAGAAGTACTTGTTTGATAGAAGTTGCTAGAAGTATTATGAAAGGAAAAGGACAGTTACAGGAAATAGTCATAATATGTGACTCAGGACTGATGACAGCCAAGGACATATAAAGAACCTAGAAGAATTAATAGGAACGTGTTCATACACACTAGAAAGTGAATTGAAGACAAAGAAAAGGGAACCAAAAGAAGAGTGAGTTTACCTTTTCCCTCTCCACCACACTTATGCCCCTGGAACCTTCTTGTGCACTTTAATGATGGTAAGTTGTCCCTGACTCTGGGCTTTGCAGGAGTTCAACCCTTTGCCCATAATTGGTTTCTTGCATTCCTTGCAGCCTGGCTCTTTCCATAGCCAATGGGAAAGAGTGATAGTTGAAAGGGTGAGTATTTACACCTGACACCTAGAGGCTCAGAAAGGCCTACAGTCTTGGTGATTGAGACATTTTAAACAAAATGAAAGTCTTTCTATTTACCAGATTAGTAATGATTATTAATATTCAGTGCTTGCACAACTGGGAGAAATGGGCTATAGTTGGCTGAGGCAGGAAGCCATACAGTGGGCCTGTTCTTCAAGTCAGCAGTTCCCTAAGACAGGTACTTGCTGTGGAAGTGTTCACATGAATGGAGACAATGGTCAAAGGATGATTAGCATGGTGTTACATGTAATGTGGAAAGTTAGCATGGTCAAAATATGTATTAGTACAAAATGAAATTACGGTCCAGGTATAAAGTGAAGTGCTTTACCATCTTTATGAAAATAGTTCAATCGTATATCGTTGTTTTTTTTCAAAAGCCAAACAATATACGTATATGACAGCTATACTGTTAAGCTGTGTGTGCATGCATTTTCTTTTATAACTTGAGTATCCTCCCCTTTCTACCATTCCCTTAGCTCCAGAGCTCTGCTAACACATGGCAAAGTCTTTTGTGTTATTTAGAAATAGTTGGCTATAACTATGCCTTCTTTGTCCCAGCGTGGATAGGCCGGAAAGGGGAAATGTTCCTAGTATAGAATGTCAAAATTTCAATTCATCTGAGGTAATTTTTTAAAATTATTTATTTATGTATTTATTTATGTATTTATTAAAAATTTCTGTCTCTTCCCCACCGCCGCCTTCCCTTTCCCTCCCCC